GGGACTCGCAGGCAGCTCGCAGGGATGTGCCTCGGAGCCCTGAGCGGTGTGTCACCGCTCCACGCCCTGGTACCGCACGGCTGACTCACAGCATCTGTGATATGTACGTGTTATTTGGCGTCTTTCTTCCTGGATCCTGGCCTTGTGGGACACGACGTGGGTGCAGGCGGTCTGGAGAGGTGCTTCCCCTCCTTTATTAAATGAGATGATGTATCTGGTACCTCTGCTTGGTGCTCACGTTTCTCTCTCAGACTGGTTTGCAGTGCTGACTTGTGAAGTACGTGAGCTGCAAGAGATACTGCTCACATCATAATCCTGTTCTCTGTGCCTTGGCTATGACAGTAAGCTTTCAATTTTATTTACTGTTAACTTTTTCCCAGGGTGAGCGAGAGAAGCAGGAGCAAATTGAGGCCCAGAAGGAGAAGCAGAGAGAGCTGATCCTGCAGCTCAAGACACAGCTGGATGACCTTGAGACCTTTGCTTACCAAGAAGGCAGCTATGATTCCCTGCCACAGTCTGTGGTTATGGAAAGACAACGGGTAAGGCTCAAAAATCCTCCTGCTGTATTTCCCAGCCTTTCTGAGTGTCTTACCTACTGCAGGCAATCATCAGTCTGTATTTCTCACCAGCAGCTATAATAGAGTGTCAGGAGTTTGTCTACATGTGTGAACCTGTCATGTGTCTTTTGCAGTTATTTCTGTGCAGTAAAGGTGTCCTGTTTCTGAGGGAATCTCTGGGAAAGGAGTTATTTTTTCCTGAAGAATTTGAAGTTGTTTTAAAACCAGTGCTGCCCCTCCTTGTTCTGTGCAATCCCTCCAAAGTGCAAGTTTGCTCCAGCCCAGCACTCTGTGCCTCTATGTTAAACATGAATCATTACCCTGCAGAGCTGGATCAACTTCTCCCCTCTTGCTGATGTAAAAATTTATTTGATATAACAAATTATTTGAGAAAGCTCCCAGGCAGCAGTGCCACGTGGTGAAATCCCACTGCTCACTTGTGTTTTGCAGATGATTATAAATGAGTTGATAAAGAAGCTGGACATGGACTTAAGTGAAGATTTTGCAAAGCTCTCTCCAGAGGAGCTGCGGCAGAGGGTGGATGCTGCCATAGCACAGATTGTGAATCCAGCCAGGGTGAAGGAGCAGCTGGTGGAGCAGCTGAAAACCCAGATAAGGGACCTGGAAATGTTCATCAATTTCATTCAGGGTCAGTGATGAGTTTTTGAATGAGCAGACTGAATTCCTTTGTAATTCCCTGACGTAGTCATGAGGAGGAGAGTCACAGATGTCAGGAGATGCAGGAACAGCTTCTAGGTCACAGGAAAGTGACATCTCTCTAAACTGACAGTGAGGAAAAGTATTGATAGAGTGACAAAAGAGATTTAGAGGGGTCTGAGGAATGTTGACCTTAAGACTTGGGATATGCAGCTGAAATTCACAAATGTGAAATAACGATGTGAAATCCTTTTTGTAGATGAAGTTGGAAGCTCTGGCAAGGCAGAAGATGCCCACTGTGACTGTGGAGGCTCCTACAAACCCAGCACCCGGCCTCCTGGGAACAGAGGTGGGCACTGCTGGGCTCAGCACTGTCAGCAAAGCTCCAGCTCCTCCCTGGAGCTTTGATGAGCACAAAGCAGTCACTGTCTGCTTTTCCCTGGCAGCTGGTTTCTGTGCTTTGGCACTCCCTCTGCTGAAGGCCTGTGTCCTTTTCCTTTACCCTCCTTCCATGGGATCCTCAGAGTAGTCACAGAGCCTGAGCAAGTGGCATGGAGGGTGGGCTCAGTCCTCAGTGGGGTCAGGAAGAGACTGCAGATACTTGGTGCAAAACACACTGTAATTTGTGCTCTTCAGGCTCTGAGCTCTGTGAGCTGGGGGGATCCAGTGTTCTTTAGAATTTGAGACCTCCCTACTTATCCTTTGAACCTGCTGGCAATACAATAATGTAGCATGAGGCATCTGCAGCTACTCAGAATGCTAGCCTGAAGAGATTTTCAGATATTAGCACTCCTTTTGTGTGTATGAGCATGCAGAGTTGTTGACTCCCTAATGAGATTATGTTTTTTTTTTTTCTGCCCTGGTCAGTGAATCCAGAAGATGCCCGAAGGATGCAAGAGACGGGCCTGCAGCTCATGCGCCGCGTGCTGGCCGTGCTGCAGATCTTTGCTGTCAGCCAGTTTGGCTGTGCCACGGGGCAGATCCCTCGCACCCTCTGGCAGAAGGACCGGGACAAGCATGACTTCTCCCCCTTAATAGAGAAACTGGAGCTGTCGGTGGAGCGGGTGAGGCAGCTAGCCCTGAAACACCAGCAGGCAGAGCACGTTATCTGCTCCTCCGAGCTGCAGGACATTCCCCTGGGCGGCAGAGACGAGCTGACCCTGGCTGTGCGCAGGGAGCTGACCCTGGCCCTGCGGGACCTGCTTGCCCATGGGCTCTACGCCTCCTCCCCAGGCATGAGCCTGGTGCTGGCCCCCATCGCCTGCTTGATTCCCGCCTTCACCGCCTCCCCGCAGACCATGCACCCCTGGGAACTCTTTGTCAAGTACTACAAGGCCAAGAACGGACGAGCCTTTGCGGAATCCCCAGCTCGCAAGCTGTCCCTGTCCTTCGCCCTGCCCGTGACGGGGGCAGTGGTGGCCACCCCCAAGCAGAGCCTGCTGGCAGCCATCCACACGGTGCTCGCGGAGCACGGCCCCTTCAAGCGCAGCGCGGACTCGGAGCTGAAGGCGCTGGTGTGCATGGCGCTCAACGAGCAGCGCCTGGTCTCGTGGCTCAACCTCATCTGCAAGTCTGGGGCTCTGGTTGAGTCTCACTACCAGCCCTGGAGCTACATGGCCAGCACCGGCTTCGAAAGCGCCCTCACCCTCCTCAGCCGCCTGAGCAACCTGAAGTTCAACCTCCCGGTTGACCTGGCTGTTCGGCAGCTGAAAAACATCAAAGATGCGTTTTGATGTGTTTTTATTGCCGTTCATCCGTTTTTCCACTAGTAGGCAGCTGTTGGGCTCAAGAAGCCTGGCGTTTGTAAGACCAAGTTTGTCTCTTTGGTGTTTGCTTTTAGAGAAATCTTAGGGTCTCATGTTGTTGGTAGTGTGTTGTCTGCTGGAGGCCGCAGGCTGGGCAGCAGCGCCTCACCCTGCCCACTCCCTGCTGCTCTGGGGCCAAACTGCCCTGCCCAGTGGCCAGGGACAGTTCAGGGGTGGGGGACAGAGGCCTGGCCACGGGGACTGCCCGTGGGATGTGCAGTGAGCTCCTTTGTGGTTGTTTCTCGCAGTCTCTGCTCTCTACACTTTGCACACACAGGATCCCTCATGGAGGAGGGAGCAGGCAGGGTTTGAGGCACCTTGGGGGCTGTCTGAGCTCCCCCGTAGGAGAAGATGAGTGCCGGGCCAGAGGTGCCCGCGGGCTCCTCCAGCGGCTCTGCGCTCTGTGTCCCTCGGGCTGCCGGGGCGCTTTGTCCAACGGACCCAGCTCCTTGTTCCGGGCTTTTGTGGGGCACCAGCGCCGCCCGCTGTCCCGCGGGGTAAATTAAACACCGCTGTACTACCTGTGGGCCGAGCTCAACGCTGTCCCGTGTGCTCTGTCCGTTACCGGGGCTGGGAGGGGGCGGGCGAGGCGGACACCGGCGCCGCCGTGCCCGGGGAGGGGGCGGCTGAGGCGGACACGGCACCGCCGGGGCGCGGGTGGCTGAGGCGGACACGGCACCGCTGTGCCCGGGGGTACGGGGGAAGCAGACACGGCACCGCCGTGCCGGGGGTTACTGAGGCGGACACGGCCCCGCCGCTCGGTACCGGCAGCAGCTCCAGGCGGCGCGGCGGAAGTGACGTAGGTGTCCGGGTAAAAGCCGGGCGCTGCCTTCCCTTTCCCTTCCGGCCCAGCGCCATCGCAGCGGAGCCTCGGTGAGAGCGGGCGGGCGCGGCATCCGCCGCCATCCGCGGGGGTGGCGGCCGGGGCGAGGGTGGCGGGCTCGGGCTGACTGCCGGCTGCTGTCTCCGCAGAGATGGGGAAGTTCATGAAGCCGGGGAAGGTGGTGCTGGTGCTGGCCGGCCGGTACTCGGGGCGTAAGGCCGTCATCGTGAAGGTGAGCGCGGGGCTGGGCCGGTGGGGCCGGGACGAGCGGGAGACCGGGGGGCGGCACGGGCACGGGCGCGGGTCCTGCGGGGCCCACGGGGCCGCGGCTCCTCGGTGCGATCGCCGCCACCGCGGCCTGTATCTTTCAGAACATCGACGATGGCACCTCGGACCGGCCGTACAGCCACGCCTTGGTGGCCGGCATCGATCGCTACCCGCGTAAGGTGACTGCTGCTATGGGCAAGAAAAAGATCGCTAAAAGGTCCAAGATCAAGTCCTTCGTGAAGGTTTACAACTACAATCACCTGATGCCCACCCGGTGAGTGCTGCTACCGGCTGCTTTCGTGGTTCTTGCGTTTTCTACTGAGCACTGAGAGTCACCAAGGCTGTTAATGCTGTGGCTGAATGAATGTGAGGCTCAGGCTCTGCAAAAATGGAGCTGGGGTCTGAGGCTGAGTGGAAATATTAATGAACTTTTGGGGTGACACAGCTGGCTCTTATTTCAGCCTCACTGATCTTCCATTTGCTCAGGGGGTGTTAGAGACAGCTTTGAGGGTATAGAGCTGGCAGAGCCATTTCTTGTTGTGCCTCAGAGCTCTCAGAGCAGCTCCCAGGCACCACATGGAGCAGAGCTGCATATCCCTCAGAAAGGGTATGGCTCCTTTATAGGCTGAACTGAGACTGCTTTGGTGGTTTGGTGACTCCTGAGCTGAGGAGACTGTAGGAGCTGTAACTCCTTGTCTGGACATTGGAGTGTGCTTGGTTTTCAGCCCTGTGCCAGGTACCATGCCTCTTTTGAACTGTTTTGCTCTCTGCCAGGTATTCTGTGGACATTCCCCTGGACAAAACAGTGGTCAACAAGGACGTGTTCAGGGATCCCGCTCTGAAACGCAAAGCAAGGCGTGAAGCCAAGGTGAAATTTGAGGAGAGGTGAGTTGGGAGTTCATCTCCTCAGTGTTGTTTGTGCTGTTACAGGTGTGAGGGGTCAGCGTTGCTGTGCTGCAGTCTGTGCTTTTCCAGGTTGGCACTGCCACCCTGGCTTCTTTGCAGGAGTGTTTGTTGAGTGTGTTTTTCTCACCTGTGTGTGTGTGTGCACCGTCATGCCAGCACCTGTGGGTTTTTCAGGTGCCACAGGATGATCTGACAAGGTGCTGCCAGTTCATCCTCTCTGTTATCACTGTGCTGGGTGGGCCAGGGCAGTGCTGATGCTTTGCTGGGGTTTCTGCTCTTTTTTGATGGGTTTCTGTTCAGAATCTCCTTCAGAGGAAGGAGCTGTGTGGCCTCAGTGGCACACAGTGTCTCAGGCTGTTCCCCAAGGGCATCTCCCCCTGCCACAGGAGGTGTCCAGCAGGATGGCCGTGTCCTGTGCTTGTACCTATTGAGGTGGAAACTGCCACAGTGCAGGTGTTTTTAAATTTGGAGCCTGGCACTTGCTTCCCTTTTGGTATTTCAATATTTCAAGTGGGTTTATTTGTATCCCAGGCCGTAAGACCAGGAGAATTACCTCTGGGTGAATTAGGTGCTACATTCTGTCTGTCTGGGACAGCTCAGGTGCAGGTTTGGTGCTGTTACCTGCTCGTACACATCCTTTAACGCATGTCTTCTCTTTCAGGTACAAAACCGGCAAGAATAAGTGGTTCTTCCAGAAGCTGCGATTCTAAAGGTGTAACGAGGTTGCATCAATAAATGTTTATTAAAAACCATGCCTTTTTTTGTTATTTAACAAACAAACAGTGGCCTTTGTGGTGTGGTCATGCTTGCTCTGTGTTTCTAAGAGCTGGGGAAGCCATTGCAGTCCAGATGAGCAGGGTCTGGGTCAAGTTTTAAATCCAAGAGTGGGGCAGGAATGGACCAGTTTATATTTGGTAGCTGGTCCATTCAGAGTAGTTTATTTCTGTATTTAGTAGCTGGTCCGTTTGGAAGAGTTTATATTTAGTAACTGGTCCATTCAGAAGATTTTATTTCCACATTTCATACCTGGTTCATTTGGAAGAGTTAATTTCTATATTTAGTAGCTGGTCTGTTAGGAAGAGTTTATGCCTATATTTACTAGGTGGTCCATTCAAAACACTTTATTTCTATATTTAGTAGCTGGTCTGTTTAAAAGTTTGTTTAGTAGCTGGTCTGTTCAGAATAGTTTATTCCTATATTTTCTAGCTGGTCTGTTTGAAAGAGTTTATATTTAATAGCTGGTCCGTTTGGAAGAGTTAATTTCTATATTTACTAGCTGGTCCGTTTGGAAGAGGTTATACTTAGTAGCTGGTCCGTTTGGAAGAGTTAATTTCTATATTTACTAGCTGGTCCGTTCCTGGCAGGCCCGGTGGGTGCTCGGAAGGCGAACTAGGCGGGGCGGGGATGGAGGAAGAGGAGGAGGTGATGAGGTGCTGGGCGGGCCCTGCGGCCGGAGCTGCGCTCGGAGGGGTCGGGGCGGGGCGAGTTGGCGAAATCGAAAGCGAAAGGCGAGAACGGGTCCCCGGTAGCACGGAGGGAGTAGGAGAGCGGTCCCGGTGGGCAGGGCAGGGCTCCCCGCGGGACCGGACCGGACCGGGGATGGATTCGGATGATGAGGTGAGGAAGAGCCGAGCCACGGGGAGAGGCGGGCGGGGGGCGGCGCAGCGCGGCTGAGACCCCTCCTGTCTTTAGGAATCCTTTGTCCGGCTGCAGGACGAGAGCCTGCAGAGCCCCGAGCAGCTCCGGCAGGAGATCGAGCGCTGCAAGGTGGGTCCGGCTGCTCCGAGAAGGGTTGGGCGGCCGCGTCCCAGCTGTGCGGGGTCCGCCCTGGCCAGGAGCTCGGGTGTTCTCTGGGAATCAGAGGCGGCAGAGAGGAACAATCCCCTGGATGGGAGAGCTTGTTCCGGGGCACAGCCTGTGCCGGGGCTGCCTGGCTGGTGGGGGGATGCAGTGTCGTCAGGGTGTTGCTGTCTGATGGTGCTTCTCACAGGAGCTTTACAGTGCTCTGGAGAAAGAATGTGCAAAGCTACAATCGGCCAAGGAAGCTGCAGAGCAAAGGACAAAGGAGCTGAAGAAAGAAGAAGAACTTCATAAAGTTTTAGAGCAACAGCTGTCTTTAAATGGAGATGAAGAAAGAGCACGCCAGGTCAGTGTTCAGTGGATGGCCTAGGTTTGGAAGGGTGCCAGGGGCTGCAGGGTGCAGGTCGCTGCTCCGAGATCACTTGCCTGGGGTCTGATGGAGTTTCATGGGGAACACAAGGCCTGTGCTGAGAAGTGAGGCAGTGCTGCAGCGAGGGGAGGGCTGTCCTCAAAGGAGAGGAGCCAGGACAGAGCTGCAGGCAGTCAAGAACAGAATAGGCTGGAGCTGTGTGCCCAGGAACAGTGCTGTGCTCAGAACAGAAATGTGCTGCAGCCCTTTGTGTCCTGGTGTTCCCTACTTCCCATTCTGTCCTTACTTCCTTCTTTCCCTCCTTCCTTCTAGATTTTTACAATAAGGGAGGAGAACAACAGACTGAGGCTGGAGAAGCAAGTTCTAAACAATAAACTGGAAGAATTGAAGAAGAGGGTCTTCTGGAATGATCCTGTGCAGGTAACAGTGTGTGTGTGGGTACTTGGGTCTGCTGGCAAGGGCGCAAGCCTGGCTGGAGAAGCTGCAGGTGAATGCAGCTGGGCACTGTGTGATGACTGGAACAGCTCCTCTGCCAGGGCCAGGAGCTCTGGTCATGCTTTGGGATTCCAGGCACAGCCAGACACTAGGAGAGACTCTGCTGAGGTTCTCCAGCAGTTTATTTGTGCCATGAGCTTATTTCTACTCCATGGATTGGCAGGGACGTGCCCTGTGCAGGGTCCAGTCTCCTCCATGTGCTGTCTCTGCTTGTACCTAGATACTGTCTGCCCTGCCAGAAAAGAAAATGATCTTTAAGGGACTCCCAGCAAACAAGGAGGACATGAACAAGCTGATGCTCATCCCACTGATCCGCTGCCCTCTGCCAGGGGGCTCAGCTCTCATCACCTTTGAGGAGGCAGAGGGTAAGTGTGAGAGGAGCACTGCTCTGGCCAGGTGTCCTCGGTCATTTTGGAGCCTGCCCTGTGTCCCCTCCCTGTGCCAGAGTTTGGTGCTCCCTCTCTCCCTGCCTTGTGTGGGGCTGTGTCCCCTCCCCAGCACCTTTGCTGTCCTGGAAAGTGCTGGGCAGTCACTCCCCTGTGCTGGGGGCTCTCCCTGCCCGCAGTGGCCCAGAGGATCATAGAGATGAAGGAGCACACGGTGGAGCTGAGCTGTGGGCAGCTGGAGGAGCTCGACCAGTGCAGAGTGAAAGTGCAGGCAGTGCCCATGGACATCCTGCTGCCATCTGCCCTGGAGGTAGGGCCCGTGGGTCCCCATGCCATGGGGGTGCCCTGGACACACTGCTCCCCCTGTCTGAGCCTGCCTTGACCAGGGCACTGCTCCCCTGAGCTCTGGGCCAGTCCTGCCCTGGCACTGACTGGCCGGTGCCACCCACAGATCAGGCTGACACAGAGCAGCAGGAGCATCCTTGTGTCTGACCTGCCCAGCCTGAGCATCTCCAAGGAGGCACTGCTGGACAAGCTGGAGCTCTTCTTCAGCAAGACAAAGAATGGGGGCAGCGAGGTGGAGAGCAGAAATTTCCTGGAGGACTCTCAGCAGGTGGTGCTGACCTTCACACGGGATGGAGGTGCGTGGGGTGTGCTGAGCCTGGGTGGCTCAAGGGTGGGGCAGCCCAGCCTGCTCTGGGGGGAAATCTGAGAGCAGAGGAAGCTGTCTTTGAGGAACAAGGAAGATACAGTGAGCCCCAGGCTGTCCTGCCTCCCCCAAAACTGTGCTGGTGCGGGTGAGCTGAGCAGTGAGCTTGGCAGTGTCAGCCTTGGTGCCTTTGCCAGGGACAGAACCTCCCCTGGAGCTGACCTGGGCAGCTCAGGGCTTTCCTCTCCATATGCAGTGGCAGAGCCGCTAATTGAAAGAGGACATATCCAGGTGCCCATTGGGAAAGGGAAATACAAAATCAAAATATCACCATACATGAGTGGAGACATCTCTAACCTGCAGGTAAGGGCATGAATCCCGTGCAAGCAGCACCTCTGAGCCTGTGTGGAGGCAGCACAGCTGGGGGGGCTCCTGAAGCCCCTCTGCCCTGCACTCACCCCCTGCTCTGCCCAGCTCCAGCCCTCCCGCTGCCCCAGGACCGTCCTGCTCCTGGGCATCCCCGATGTGATGAGCGTGGAGTCCATGAGAGACGCCCTGGAGATCCACTTCCAGAAGGCCAGCCGCGGCGGCGGCGAGGTGGATGCGCTCGCCTACGTCCCAGCGGGGCGGACAGGGGTGGCCGTGTTCGTGGAGGACACTGCGGGCTAGTCCCGGCCAGATACGGGCTGGTCCTGGCTCAGCCCGAGGCTGAGGAGCTCCGTGCGTCCGTTGGCCCGCGGGCACGGGAGAAATTAAAAGTGTCTGTTGGAAGCACCCACCGTGTCTGTTGTGTTGGGGCCGGGCCGGGCGTTGCCTGCAGGGCCGGGGCGAGGCTGAACCCCCTCCCTGGCCGTGCTCTGAGGGGCCGGGGGAAACTGAACCCTTCCCCGCCGTGCTGTGAGGGGCCGGGGAGAGGCTGAGCCCTTCCCGGCCGTGCTCTGAGGGGCCGCGGCGAAACTGAGCCCTGAGGGGCCGGGCCGCGCCTCCCGCGGGCCCAGGGCGGAGCGGCTCCGCTTTCGCTTTCGTTTCCTCGCGGCGGCGGGGTCGGGGCGGCGGCCGGAGCGGTGGGAGCGGGCGGCGAGGCCGTGCCGGTGCGGCGGGGCCCGGGCAGCCGCCGCCGCCGCGGGCATGGCGGGCCGCACGGTGCGGGTGCAGGGCTTCCCCGCCGAGCTGCCCCCCGACAGGGCGGCCGACAAGCTGACCATTCACTTCCTGCGCTCCCGCAACGGCGGCGGCGACATCGCCAACGTCCGGGTGCTGCCCGGCTCTCTGCCCTGCGCCCTCATCACCTTCGAGGCGCCGGAAGGTAACGCCCGCGGGACCCTCGGGGGCCTGGCCTGGCCCACCTTCCCCAGCCCCTCTGTGCCCTGTCCCACCATTCCCAGCCCCTCTGTGCTCTGTCCCACGATCCCCACCCCTTCTCTTCCCTGCCCCACCATCCCCAGCCCCACTCTTCCCTGTCCCACCATCCCCAGCCCCTTTGTGCCCTGCCCCACCATCCCCAGCCCTGACATTGCCTCACCCACTCTCCCCTGTCCACCATCCTCTGTCCTGCCCCTGTCTCACTGTCCCCAGCCCCACCATCCCCTGTCCCACTGTCCCCCACCCCTCTGCTGTCCCTTGGCTGGGCTGACAGAGGTCTGGGTGGCTTTTCCCACCAGTGGCCCAGAGGATCCTGCAGGTGAAGAACCACGTGCTGGCAATTGGGAAGACACAGTACCCGCTGGAGGTGACGCCCCACGCTTCAGAGCTGAGCCCCAATGAGGTACTGAGGGGATGTGGCAGCCCCAGCTGCTCCCACACAGACTCTGTGCCTGGCAAACAGCTTGAGAAGGGAGACCTCACTCTCTCCTTTCACCTTAATTACACTTAAATCCGTCCTCATTCATATTCAAATGAAGATTTTTTTCCCTGTGTTAACAGCACAGGGACAGGCAGGCAGGCTGTGCTCTCAGTCATCTGGCATTTGTGCCTGTCAATTGGAGGGTAGTCAGGCTGGAAGAGAACAGGCACTTTTCCCCAGTCCATCTGGTGCCACACAGGGATCCTGTTAATGCCTCTGCCGTGTCATCAGCTGGTTCACAGTGTATTGTTGCTCTTTCCTTCTCAGGAAAGCTTAGCATACAGACATGCTGGTGTCTGGGGAGCACTGGAGAGTTCTTGCCTCTTCCTCCAATCTCAAGAGACCGTGGCTGTAGCCATGTCTCATGTTTTCATATCTGAGTCCCCAAAACAGGGGCATGGAAATTAGCTTGGCCTTGCAGACCTTTTTGCAAATCTGTGGTGCCAAAACTGCTTGAAGATCTGGAGATGAAGCTCTGCAAAGGCAAGAGAGCAACTGCATTTCAGATGCAGAAACAATAGTGGATTTCTTGAGTTTGGGCTTTTTGAAGAGCTCCCAGTGTGTAGAAATGTGGCCCTGTCTCTGTGCAATTTCCCCCTCTGATTCCTTGGTTGCAGAAAGCTTTTGACAAGTGCACAAGGTCAAGGGGTTGCTTTTGGTCCTGTCTGTGTCAGGGTCCATCTCTTGAAAGCAGGATGCTGAGGGAGAGAGGTGGAAGAGTGTGTCACAGTAATTCAGGGGCCACTTGCCTTCTGTGCCTCTGAAAGGGGCTGGTTTTGGTCCTTGCTCTCTCACTCCCTTGCTGTCTACTTGCAGATCTTCATACACGTGAGCATGACAATTGACTATGGCAAGCTGCCCACGGGCAAAACCCTCCTGAAGGACTTGCACAAAGAGTACAGCAATGTACACTTCAGCTTCGACTCCAAGAACATGCAGTGCATAGTGCAGGGCCCATTCACTGAGCTGCAGACCTTCAGCAGAGACCTTCTCAGCAGCCTGAACCTCAAGAACCAAGCCAGTGGCCAGATCCTCCTGCCAGCTCCCAGCTGTGGGGCCAAGGAGATGGGAATCCCTGATCAGCAGCAAGTGCCCGACTCCACTGAGCCAGCACAAGAGGCAGCAAAGCTTCCAGATTGTGACCAGGCGCAGGAAATGTCAGCTAAAGAACCATCACCTCAGAGCCCAGTGGGTGAGGAAGCTGTGGAACTTTTGGGGAAGCTGGAGGACTTTTCCCTCGCCGTGGACTCGGACATTTACTTGTACATGCAGAGGTTCTGTGCTGCTGAGTACTGGGGTGTGCTGCAGCAGCACCACGTGGATGTGGTGGATGTCAGTGGCGATGGCATCGCTGTGTTGTACCTCCAGCCATCTGGAGGAGTGTCTGGGGACACAGAGGCCTTGAGGCAGGCCCAGCTGGCCCTGCAGCAGCTCTACCAGCAGCTGGAGGCGAGCCTGCGCAAGGAGAAGATCGCTAAGAAAGGGCTGGGGATGGATAGCCAGGCACTCAGGGCTCTGACACGTGAGCTGCAGGAGCTCTATCCCCAGCTGCTCTGCCATGAGGATGTGAAGCAGCTTTATCTCGTTGGAAGCCTGGTTGATGTGTGCAAGGCCAAGCAGTTCCTTGAGGATTCTGTCACCAGGAGAAGTGCTGCACGCACGGTTGACACGCTGAGCAGCTCCCAGCCCTCTGGCACCACAGAGGCTGCACCACTGCTGGGCAAACCTCCTGTGCATCCTTCAGCCACAAGGCTTAGCCCAAGCAAGCAGGAGCAGAAATGTGAGTTCAAGCTAGCTGCCAGCTTCAGCACCCTGAAAGCTGACAGGTCTCAGGCTGGCCAGGACCTCTTGGTGAGTCAGGACTCTCCAGCAGTGGCACAGGTGCAGCTTTCTGGGAAACATTCATCAGAGACAGATGCTCCTGGTCAGAGTGACCCAAGGGCGCTGAGCCAGCAGTATCAGTCTCCCACCCCTATGAGAGATAAAGTTGTGGGGTCAGCACAGTCTCCCACCCCTATGGCAGATAAAGTTCTGGGGTCACCTGCAGAACCTCAGCAGAATGACCCCACAGAAAGGGACCATGTGGAAGGAGGTGCCAGACTCACAGGAGAAAAGGTGCTGATGCCTATTGCAGGCAAAGAAAACAGCACTTTTCAGCATGCTGAGGACTCTAAAGGCTCAGGTCCCTTTGGGTACCACTCCCTTGCTGGCATCTACAGCAGCTGTGATGTGACATGGACCCCTTTTGCTTTAGGCTGCAAACCCTCAGCATCCAGCCCTGTGCTGAGACGGTCCAACAGCTTCTCCCTGTCGAGGTCAAAGGAAAGCAGCAACTCTGGAGACATCAGCAGGGTGAGTGAGGAGATAAGCCTGGACACTCTGCAGTGGTTTTACCTGAAAGATGTGTGCCATGCTGCTATTGATGAGCTGTGCAGGGCTGGAGGGGTGCACATCTCGGAGCGCCACGCCGGCGACTGCACGGTGCTGATGCTGCAGGCAGAGGACAGGAGAAGGCTGCTCCAGGTGAAATGGAAGGTGGAAGATCTCGTGCAGAAGTGCCCTGACTTGGTGTGTCAGAGTGTGAGCTACTCAGAGCTTGCTGTCAGTGGGCCAGATGACAGTGACCTGAGCGAACTGTGCAGCCTCTTGCGAGGAAAATCCTTCCAGGTTGGACTCAGCAAAGACAAGTACAAGCTCTACCTTGCCTGCCCCAAGGAGATGCTGCCAGGAGTGAGTGAGGCCTTCCACATGTTTTCCTCCAGGAGGCTCTGTGCCATGAAGTCTTCATCCCTGTCTCCTGGATCAGAGAGTACAGGGAAATTGAGTGTCCAGCCAAGCAGAAGCCAGGACCCAGTGCTGGATGTGGCCCTTCCTGGCGGCCTGAGTTCCCCACAGCACCTGAACATCATCAATAAAATGGACTCTCCACATGTGCTCAGGGCTTCCTGGCTGCCAGAGGCTGAGGAAAAGGCATCCCCCAGTCCTTGGAGGTACCAGCAGGCTTGGGGGCAGGAGGAGGGCAGGGGCTGTGTTGATTCTGGGGCTGGCAGACGAGGAAGCAGCCTTCTGAGCCTTGGCACGGGGGATAAGCAAAGCCCTCCTGGCCTGAGGGAGTTCCAGGAACAGCGGAAGACAAAACTGACCCTGGGGGAGCCCGACAGCCCCCAGCTGAAACAAGTCTTGCCAGACAGGTTCCAGTTTGCAAGAGACAAGAGCAGAGGAGGCCACAATGAAGCAATGGGACAGCAGCACTGCCCAGTCCCTGCAGCTGATGAAACTCCTCACTCTATGCCCACCTGGCTACCCAGGGCTGTGGCTGCTGAGCCACCACCAGCTGTGGCCCAACAGGCACCTGCAGCAGAGCCCACAGATCAGGGAAGGGCCCAGCTCCCAGGGGGCAGGAGCAACGAGCAGGAGGAGCCTGAGCTCCCATCACAGCAGAGAAGAGAGCCCAGCCTTGGCCAGGAAAGCAGCACCATCCCTCTGGAGCAGTGTGATGTTTGCCAGGGCTCAGGGGTGACCTGCCAGGGCTCCTGTGGTCACGCCTTGTGCAGGACATGTTTTGCAGCAGACAGTTTGCAGCCAGCTTGCTGTGACTCCTCCTCAGATATCCCAAGCTGCAATATCCTGGGGACACTGAAGATCTCCTCCCTGTCTCAGAGCTTGCCTGGATTCTATCCGGACTCAACATTTCAGCTTGCTTACAACATCCCTGATGGAGTGCAGGGGGTAGGTACCACACAGAGCTTCCCCATCCCACTGCAGCCCACACAGGGAGGGCTGTCAGGGTGGCTGGGTGGGAAAAGAGCAGCCACAGCTCCCTGCCTCACAGAAAAATCAGCAGAGGTATTAACCTGAGAAAGGCAAAAAGCTCCACAGCAGGTTTTGGAGCAGCTTGCTGCTTCTCAAGAGCATGTGGGACCTCTGGTTTTAGTTGACAGTGACTATCAGCCCATGGGGATCATGGTCATGAGTGTAGTTTTCAAGCTAGACAAACCTTAGAAATCCCCTCAGAGGCAAAGCATTCCAGCCATTGTTTAAAATGTCTTATTCCTGTTCCAAGGTTGGGGACCCTCGCCCAGGACACCCTTACAAAGGGGGGAATTTTTGTGCCTTCCTGCCTGAAAACACAGAAGGGGTGAAGATAGCAAAGCTGCTGAAGAGAGCGTTTGAATGTGGGCTGACATTCCAGATCAAGTCCTGCAATGGAGAGGAAAGAGTAACATGGGGTCCTATCCCCCACAAAACCTCCTGGGATGGAGGCAAAGCCAGGTATGGCTCAGCTCCTCCTGAGCTTGTGGGTATGGTTGTGGGCTTTTTAGCAATGGGAGGAGGAGAACCAGGGGCTCCAGCTCAACAAATCCTGGCAGGGATGGCACAGTGGCAGAGTTGGTGCTGCCCTTTGCTTCAGCTTGCAGGGCAGCTGTGCATGGCAGAGCAGCCCTGGCACTCTCCAGCTGGAGCAAATCCATCCCACATCCCTAAGTGTTGTGGAAACCCTGTAATTCCCCATGGACAGGAACTGTGGGCCCTGTTCACTTAGAGCCTGTGCTGGGTACAAGCTGTGCCTGCAGGCTGCAGGACATCCCAGGGGCAGCACTTCCCCTCTCAGCCCCTCTGAAAGGGTGGGGCAGAAATAAAGGGCTGCTTCCCACTGTGGTTTTGGCACAGCAGCAGGATTTACAGTGCTTCCTCTCTGCCCCACAGGAATGGCTACCCAGATGCCCAGTACCTCCATGAGGTTGGCACAGTCCTCAATAAACTGGGCCTTGTGTGATTCTCCCACAGCCTGTGGCTTCCCTTCACCTTCTTTTCCTGCTGAGAACTGCAGCTTCACAGAGACAGCTCAGGAAGAAGCAGGTGTTTGTTGAAAGAGCTCCTGCTTTCCCCACATGTAGCCAGAACTCTGCACTTGAGCAAAGAGCAGCACCTCTGTCCCTGCCCCATGCAGGCCTCAGTGCTTGCCAGAAACTCCAGCTCCTCTTGGATGCATGCCCTGAAATCACAGAGCTGATTGCAGCCTGAGTGAGCCCTGTTTGGCTTCCAGCAGCAGACACAAACGTGGGCAGGAGTCTACAGCTCATCCAGCCCCAGCTTCTGGAAGTCTCTTCCACCTCCTGGCACTACAGAGAGGTTCCAGCTCAGCTGCTGCCAGAGCTGGGGTTGGAGATGAGCTCTCCTTAGTGTCAGCTTTCAGGCCAGCAGGTGACCTGGGGCTCTCTTGAGGAGAACATTAACAGCTTTCAGCAGCTGCCTCCTCCTCCCAGGGACAGTCTCCATGCTGACAAATAAACAGGATTTATTCTCATGTTTGATGGTGGCTGTTCATGCCTTGTCTTACCCTCGGCCCAGGCACCCACTTCAGTCCCACCTGGCTACTGCCACACCCAGATAGGAAATGCAGAGCCCAGGTAAAAGCTTCACAAACAAAAATCACCATGGCTGCCCTCAGGATGAGTGTCAGGAACAACACTCAAGCCAACAGTTGTCCCTGAGAGCAGAGGCATCTCCTGCTGGGAACATTTCACTTTGTCAACTGAATCTGCTGTGGGCAGAGGGTTCACCACCACAGAAAGCTGAGCAGCACTGTGGAAGGTTTTGTTATGCTTTAATTACCATTTGAAACACATAAGGCATATGGTAACGTTTGACAGAGGAGCAGTACACATTGTAGTCATGTAAACAGCAGTGGCACAGTTGTCTTCTGTCCAACTCGGTTACACAAAAAAAGCGAAATATATTTTTTAAACAAAAGATTTGCTATGTGTCTGTAGGATGAGCAGCACTCATATCACAAATCTGCAAATCAACACAATTCAGACAGTACAGACCAGACCATATGCTGCAAGAGGCTCACTCAGAGTCTAACACATTTCACATCATGCTCATGTACTACTTGCCAAAAACACTTTGCCAGCACGAGGGCTCAGCACACCAGAGGCTTCAGCAACTTGAGTGGTTTCACACCTATGATAGCAGCTGTCAGCAGGCCAGGAGCCTGCACCAGCTGAAGCCTCACACACACAGTGCTTCTTACTTCTCCCTGGTTAATCCATTCTAGTTCAATACAGGTGTCTGAAACAAATCCTAGAGCTGAACTCCTTCCCAGAGCACTGGGCAGGGCCACCTGTGCTCCCTTCCCCTCCTGCAGTCAGCTTGCAACACAAGTGAGCTTCAGAGAGTCCAAAATGTGGCAACTGCTGCCTGGTGACAGCAAAGGAGTTGCGTTCTGTCCAGGAGCAGCAGCAGCAGGCTGGGAGCCACCACAGCAGTGACAGGAGAGGCACTGGCACCGAGCCCCCTGCAGCAGGCAGGGCTGGGGGAGCCTCCTCCACCCACCAACTCCTTACATTCCACCTGCACTCCTCATGGCACAACCTTTGAGTCAAGACAATCAGCAAAATAAACATTAAATTGCACTTCTGGAATGGCACACATGATTAAGTACAGCAATCTCCCAGTTCCTCAGTAGCACAACTTTGCCCTAAACAAGCAACACTGAATGGAATGATTTTTTATCCTAGGGTTTCATTTTGGTTTTTTTGCTTTGGTCCTTAGTACACAAACTGGCTGGTTAACTGGATTAAGACACTTGAAGTTGTTTTACACAGGTTTTATACTTAACTGTCCCATAAAAAAGAAAAGTAAAAAACCAAAACACAACCAACCACACCCACCTGGAGCAGAACTTTGAGCAGAGGATTGCAAGGTTACATTTAATCTTGGTCTTCCTGTAGAAAACACTGTTGCTACCAAGAGACACAAAATAGTGCTGACCTGGAACAGGCAGTGACTGCTTGGCATTCCTGCCTTGATAAGGGCTTCAGGAATTTCTGCTTAGAAAGACACGTGAGCCCAAAAAGAGCCAGGAGCCAGGATTGTTTCTAAAGAGCCAAGGCTGGAGCAGCTGATAAAGCCTCACCCTGGAGCCAAACAGCTCTGCCCTGGGAAAGACAAGGGCTTTACAACAGATCTTATGGACTGGGGGGTACAGAAGCACCAGAAAGGCTGGAACACCTGGGGAGAGAACAGCTAACTCATGGAAAGTCCAACAACATCACCAGAGTTCACAAAACAGAGCTAACAAGAGTCAAAACAGTGTTTTGGCAATACTTTGAAAGGCCAGAATGGAAAAGGCCCCAGTGACTTCTTAGTCATGTAGCAGAAGGCACCGAGATGCTGTTTGCTGTGGCACACAGGAGGCAGCAGGGCAGAGAGAGGGCTCTGTGAGAGCCCTGCCACACTGCCTGAGCCAAGGCCATCCATGTAAGGCACTGAGCACCAGACTGGCTCAGGAAAAAGCAGGGAGAGAGAGGATGTTGCTATCAAACACACCAGAACAGCTTCCCTTTTACAATCTGAAGATGTGCAGGGTTGTGTGCCTTTTGAGCATGCTGCCCTGGCATCAAGGTGTAGTCCAGTTTCTCAAAGGGACAGGTCCAGACTTTCCATTTCAGCAATTTAGACAGTCCTTCTGTTTTCACACCTGGTAAAGCAGCATTAGACAGTGTTGGATTCAATCTAAATCAGCACAACAGGGCAGGCTGAAAGAAGCAGCAAGATTCTGGATTCAGAAAGGTAAAAAGTTGTGCTTGAGAGTTCCATCAGCCTGTGTTTATGAAATTCAAGAGATGAACTGACAAGGATCTGTGAGAGGACTCCAGCACTCCTCTGAGGTTGTAGGGAACAGGATTGTTGCAATATTTAAAGTTAGGCAGGGGAAAACCCCTGGAAGCTGTGCCAGTGCATTTCTAAAGAACTCTGGACTGAGCCCAAGCAGCTGAACCCCAAACTGCACTGGCAGAGTCCCACAGAGCAGGCTGAGGGAGAATTCAGAGAGGAACTCCAGCGCTGGGTGGTGATGGGGCTGTGTGCCCACCCTGTGCCCAGTGGGTACCTGCCCTCCTTGGGCCCTGGGCCCTCCCTGTGGGCTAATTAAGCAGGATTCTAATCTCAAGGTTTTGCTTCTGAAGCACAAGCTCTTCCATGATGGGCAGCTCTTAGTGCCCTTAGGTTTACCATTTCAAATCCAAAATGAAGCCCAAAAGCCCACAACACCTACGACCCATGCCAAGTAAGCACTGACAGCACCAGAGTGGCCCAGAGCTGCAAGCAGGGTCCAGGACAGCATCACCCAGGGCTCAAGGTGGGCTCAAGGACTGCATCACCCAGGGCTCAAGGTGCTCACAGAGCTGGGCTTGGGTCTCTACACAGCTCTGTTTCCAACTACACACAAGTAAAGACAAATAGAAGAGGAAACAGTTCTGGTATAGGGAGGAGCATCCCAAGCAGCTCCTAAACCCTCAGAGCCAGAGCCCCAGGACAGATTCAGGAGGAGAAGAGCCAAGCCCTGCTGCAGCAGATGAGCTGGGAGACAATGGAAAACTGCTCAGAATGTGCAGGTGAAGAGGCACATTGACACACAGCTGGGCTTTTTGTCATCTCACCAGTGTGCCACAGGGAGAGCCAGCCCACAGGAGTGGCTCCTGAAAGTTCCTTCCCAAACTGCAACACCTCCTCAGTGCACAGGGCACTGCACAAAGCATTAGTAGGGGATGATTTTGTTTCCATCTCACTCAAGTCCAATTCAATACTGCAGCCCTTGGAAATACAAAGACAAGGGTGAAGCCCTAACAACACCAACTTGGAGCCCAACATAATAAAGCACAGAGCCAACATCAATTGTTCCAGTTGTTTGAGACACAGTTGAGTCCTTATGGTCTCTAAGAATCAGACACTGCTCAGATCTCTCTATACAATTTGGAAATAGAAAATGGACAGGATCAGGTTATCTAATTGAAACTTTTCTTCTGTAGTCAGACATAGCCCAGCCCAGCCTGTCAGGGGATTTACAGACTGCACAGAGAAGTGACTGCAAATGGAGTGTGATCTGCAATAGGCTCCAAATTGCCAGGATGGTCAAGGCAAAAACAACATGAGCTGTTAATATCTGGCTGTGTTAGTGGCCTACAAAAAGCAGAGGGAATAGAGCCAGGTTAGTGTGAACAGGAGAGAAACCCCTGCTTGAATTTAACTAGGCCAGCTGTGGTTTTCCTTTGGCTGTGGAGGAAACATCCTACATTTGGCCAATCCTCTGCTGAACAGACTTTCCCAAAGCTGAGAGTGCAAATGCTTCAGCAGGGCTCAGTTTCTGCAGAGACATTTGGCAGTTGTTACAGTACTTTGTGCCTTGACTTTACAGTGACAGGCTGTGCAGTTGTCAGTCACCAACTGCTTGGAAGCTTCAGCCTCACTGCCAGAGAAAAAGGAGGTTAGTCTGGAAATTCAGTGGAGAAACAAGTGGTTAGCAGTATGAAATAAACAGGCTTCAAAAGAGAGAGCAGGAGGCATGTCTGGCAAAGGGTCAGTCACAACAAGAGCATGCAAACCTCATCTGAATGATAACCATGATGTTCTTGTACTGGTGAAAGATGGGAGATACTGATCTGTCCATTTCCAGGTCCCAAAGAGATCAGGGAGTTAAACCATGAATTCATAATCTGCATTCATCTTTTCTCCTTAGTTCTCTGCTTTTTTAGATTCTTCCTTGGGTGCTTCAGGAACCAGGATGACTTTTCCAACATTCTTCTTTTCTTGCATCTGCTTCATAGCCTCTGCCACCTGGAGGCAAAAGGAGGGTGGTGAGACCCCCACCCACTGCAGAGAGCATTTGTGCCCCTCCTGGGCCCCTCAGCACCCCCAGAGCAGTCTGAGGGACAACTGGGAGGCTTTCCTGGAGTTCAAGCATGTCCCAAGCATCCAGGTGCCTTGCACAGGTGTGTTTTGGACAGACCTGGGCAATTACCCCAGCAGGCCTATAGGAAACTATCAAGAATTCACACAGCCCAACCTAAGCACACACACACAAGGAGGCTCTGCTCACACAAATGTGGAAGGGCAGTGTGTGTCACTCTCCAAAGGGAGGAATCCAGCAACTGCTAGGAGGACAAAGCTTCTACCAGCTGCACAAAACAATACATGCACAGAATTGTATCATTTTTATCATTATTTTCAAGCACCTGGGCTAGGCCTGGAATCAAAGCTTTCCTTAAGCCTTTGCATCAGTTCTCAGGTGTGAACACTGACTATCATCACTAATTTCTTTGCTCCCCTGCAGCAGCTCCTGCCCCAGCATTCCCAAGGGAAGAGCCTGGCTCTGCCTGGATACATCAATGCAATAACGCTGAGCAGAGCAGAGCTGCTGGAAAACCTGCTGCTCCCTTCATTCTGCTTCACTGCCTGGGCCCTTTTGCACTCTTGGAAGGGCAGCAACAACCTCCCCATCTGTCTGCTTAATTACAGGCTACAGAGCACTCAGGGCAAGCTGCAGTGTGATGTAGAACCAGCCCCTCCTGCTGCTGCTGCCCATGGAGCTCAGCTGAGCACCTGCCCTGCTCCCCAGGGACCCTGTCTGGCACTGCCCAGCCCTGTGCACTGCAGCACAACAGCCCAGCCACTTCACTCAGCCTTAATATTTTAAAAGGAATAAAACTCAGCCTCAGAATGTCTGAGAACAGATGATTATTAGACATTTTCAACAGTTCAGCCCCCATGGACAAGGTGCTCTGTACCACTGGATGTCAGCTCAGACTCACAGCTCAGACTCACCTGATCAAAGGGCCACACAGAGTCTATTTTGGGCTTGATTTTGCCTTGGCTGTACAGGTTAACCAGCTTGGCCACAACACTCCTGAGAAGCTCAACCTCTTCATCCATATATCCAAGATGGTAGCCACACACAGCCTTGTTCTGGTGCAGGAGCTGCAAGGCAGTGATGCTGAACTGGTTCCACCAGGTTTTAGCCATAGCCATGAGGTTCTTCTTCTGCCCAGTGAGCAGGTTTGCTACCCCTGAAAAGGAGAGCCACAGCTGAGCTGGAACACAACACAAGAGGCAAAGGGCACCTCATGGAACAGCTCAGACCAGGCACAGAGCTGAGAAATGACCACAGCAGAACCCGCCCAGTTGACCTTCAATATAAACAGGCACCTGCCTCAGCCTCTAGATAAGCATAATTTGGATTATCAGCACTCATGTGGCAAAAATGCACGTGAGAAATGCAGAAATGCAGAACAGCTCCTCTCTTTGGCCCCCCTAAGGCAGCAGCAGTGCAGCTAGGAGGGCTGGCAGAGGTAAGAAAGGGTTACAAGTGCCACCCAGCCAGGCAGGCAGGACAGTTTTCCCCTTCTCCTCCAGCCCTGCTTCTCCAGGGGAATCACAAGCTGCAGTGGCTGGGACAACCAGAGCAGCACACTGCTGCAAGTGTCTGGAATCCCACTGGGGGCTGTGTGAGGGCTTTGTCTGTGGGACAAAATCACAGTGTTCCAGGGCTGGGGAATGGAGAGATAAGTATTCAGTAGCCTCAAACCTCATCTCCCACACATCCTCTGAAAGAAAAGCAAGGCTGTGCATTAAGTCAGCCTAGACAAAGCAGCTATGCCAGTATTCCTCCCTGAGGACATTCCAGCTTCCCCTGCAGGCATCAGCTTTTACTCCAAGAGAGAGAAGAGCCCTGCAGGCTCCTTTCACCACGGAGGGAAGAGCCTGGCAGGCTGTGAACACAGCTCTGGGGACACGGCACAAATCTCACTGCCCTCTGCCTCACCAAGCCAAAGCATCCTAAAGACCTTAATTAAATAAAATAACTGCAACACAGTGAGGAATAATATCCCTGACAGCCATGCACCATTTCTGTGTGGATCCCATTCCACCCTCACACAGTCCCTGGGTTCTTTGGGCACTTTGCCCACCCCACACTCACCATAAGTGATGAGTTTGCCCATTGGCTTCAAGAGGTTAAAAGCTTTGGTTGTATCAGATCCTCCCAGAGGGTCCAGGACAATGTCAACACCTAGAGAAGGAATTGGAAGTAAATAAAAGCTTCTTTGCAAATTGAAAGAAATGCAAGAGAGCTGCACAAGTCCTCCACCACATCTCACCTTTGGGAGAGATTTTCCGGATCTCCTCTGCGTAATCCATGGTTCTGTAGTCAATGGGGTGAGCAACTCCACTCTCCTTGAGGGTCTCGTGCTTGGAGGCAGATGCTGTGCCAAAAATGGTGACATTTTCTACAGTCTTGCACAGCTGGATGGCAGCAGTTCCCACACCACCTGAAAATCAGCAGTAAGAAAGGTTTAGAAGCAAACAGCTCCAGTGTAAATTAAGAAAACCACATGTAAAAACTTGCTTAGTAAATTATCCCTGCCTGTATCAATCACACAGCACAGCAGCCTGGGGAACAGAGGCTCTGCCTGGGGCACACTGGGAGAGACTGACCCCAGCTGCTGGGGAATGGGGTCAGCACAAAGCCTGCATCTCTGCCAGCTGATATTTGATCAGCCCAGCCCCATTCTGATCATTTCCTCACACATGTCACTTACTCAGAAGCTGCACAGTGAAACCAAGAGTCTCAGCAAGGTCTGGCAAGAATTATTTACCTGCAGCCATGTGGATGAGGACACTCTGGTTGGGCCTCAGGTTTCCAAAGTCAAACAGAATCATGTAGGCAGTGATGTAGTTCACAAGAAGAGCAGCAGCTTCCTCGAAGCTCATCCCCTCAGGCATTGGGAAGGTGTGACTGACCGGCACAGTCACCACTTCTTGCCAGAGCCCGGACCTGGCCAGGACCATTACCTTGTCCCCAACCTGAAATCAGAGGACAAGGCGGTCTGAAACAAGCCCCCAAAGCTGGCAGAAGCCATCAGCCCCTTGCCCTCGGTATGTCAGAGCTGCTGCATCCACACAGTTCTGTGTGCAGGGGCTGCAGCACCGCGGCATTCAGGCAGGAGAGCACAGCTGGTTTAACTCTCTCCTCCCTGGGAGGCTGCAGCACAGAACCTCCCACCACAGACCTGGGCACAATCCCAGAGAGCACAGACACCCCACGCCCTGGCTTTGTAGTGGCACCCAAACCCAAACTGTGGTTGCCCAAACCAACCACTGGATCCATGGCAGATCCGCAACAACACAAGAGGGACGAGGACCATGTCCTGCTCTCCTTGCCCAAGCTGGGAGCAGAAGTCTAAACACGAAAAAATATTATTGCTGCTCCTTGCCATCATCCTGCCAGGAGGCAGGACCCTTAGGGAAACATTTGGTAGTATCAATCATGATAAATGCACCTTCAAACTTAGGAAAACCTCCGGAATCTAAGGCACACGGCCTCCTCCAGCTCCTCCCTGCCCGTTCTCCCTGGAGACCACAGGCACTCCAGGCTCTGGCTTTGTAGTGGTACCCAAGCCCAAATTGTGGTTGCCCAAACCAACCACTGGATCCATGCTGGATCCCCCCACAACACAAGAGGGACGAGGACCGTATCCTGCCCTCCTTGCCCAAGCTAAAAAATATTACTGCTGCTCCTTGCCGTCATCCTGCCAAGAGGCAGGACCCTTTGGGAATCGCTTAGTAGCATCAATCATGGAAAATACACCTCCAAACTTAGGAAAACCTCCCGAATCTGAGC